GTGACTCCTTTTTCGATGTGTAACGATTCATCTATGTAAACTTCCCATGGGACAAGAGAAGCACCAACTTGTAAGCTATTCCCATAATAAAACTTTGACTTTGAAACTTTGATATATATACTCATGTTTAGCGTTTACATGTGAATTTTACCCGTAATTATTATTAATACGAAAGGCCAACGCCATGGTACACATAGCGTGCTGTTTGATCACAGACGTTGGACTGCAGGCAGCAATGCTCATTGAACTTAGTCGTTAGCCGCATTGTTCGCACCTTAGGAATTCTCGTGCACCAACAATCTCACCTAACATCACCATCAGAAATCTGGACTAAGACACATGCTGCACATGTATTTAGATTAAGCTCCAAGGCTTTTCTATTCCCTTAGGCCCCTCCAAATACCTCAGTTTCTCCAAAGGATTCGGGGAGAGGGGAGGGTGGCAGCTGTGTTCTCGTCCCAAGAAATGCCCTCAGAATACGTCTATTAAAGCGCGTCTATTTGAAAAAATTTTAAGCAATTACTTTCCTCTGGTCAGAAGATTGTTTTTATTAAAATAAGAGGAGGAAGAACGACTAATGCAGTGAATATGTTGTCTACTGCCTATCCATCGTCATCGAACTAGTTTGAAGCAAGTGTATCATACAAAATACACTTTGCGCTCGCAGTTGGGGGCGTCCATTTAGGACCGGAGACGGGAAATGGTAGCAAAACCATCAAGAACAACCAGACAAGGATCTAGTGGAATTACATTGCAAAACAAACTTGATTTTGTAGATCATATCTGACTTCCTGGTTGGTCATTCGGGCAACAGGACACTAGTCTGTCATGAACAATGATAGTGGTAACTGGACAGCGTTTTTTTCTAACGCTCAGTTTATCTTTCGACGGTCGAGTCGAATTTTTTGTGAATCAACCCCATCCCGAGTCCNGAGTCCGCTTCCGTCACAACCTCCACTTCGTTCCTGTACGCCTCGATTCACCGAATTCCGCTACTACCAGCATCACGAAACAACTGTCGGATTCAAATTGCAACCTACCTGCATTTTAGGTTTGGGGACGTAGTTGTTACAGTTCAACTCACTTCTATTCATCCAACTCCCATGTAAGCGAAGCGCCAGTTCAGCCTGTGTTTGTGATTCAGATTTGCATCTGATAGTATGCGGCCGCATTGTGGTCAAATCGGGTCACCTCAGAAAGTTCGGAGCACGACGTACCTCTACCTATGGTCACAATAGATCACAAAGTCAAATCATGTTTGGCACTGGATTTCCGATTCGCTGCTGTTGTCCTCAGGCTTGAATGGTCGGTCAATCTCCACGTTTTTTTTGGCCAACGGAAAAGTGTCTCCAGAGTGGATCAAGAGGCTGAAACCGAACAATGCTCACTAACTTTAGGATGGGTATGGGGGGAGGGGCTTCAACCGAAAATCACCACGGGTCTCAGTTG